AGATGGACGTCGGAGTTCGACAGGGACCTGTACCTACTGCAGGCTGATGGTGACGTGCCCGTACCGAACTACCCTGTGGACATGGGGGTGCCTGAAAGACCATACGTTGCTCGCCGCCTTCGTGGTGTTGCTGCTCGTCGTCGAGGCCAACGACATCTTCCAGGGGTGACTTCGTGGGCGTCTCCTGGCTCCGCTGCTCGTCCTCTTCCTGCTGCTGTACCTGCCCGTGACAGAAGCCGTAGCCACGATGATGCAACACTGCGAGATGACGCAAGACGGAGCCCCAACGCCGTGGTTGCCAACCGTGACACAGCTGAGAGTTCAATGAGGGTGACTAGTGAAGTGGCGCCTGAAGATGAAGCTGAGGTTGTGGATTAGGTGTGTTTTCTTTGTGCACGCTCAATGAGCGAGCCTTCGACATCTTGCGGGAGAAAGGGGGCTATTGCATTAAAAAAAAAACCCTAAACCCTAAACCCTAAACCCTGAGATTTTCTCAAACTTAGGAACCTGAACGTAAGAGCGGGGTGCGTTCTGGAGGAATTGGAGGACCTATCCCGTGCCGCCAGTCTCCTTCCGTTCAGCTGACCTGTATCTTTGACGGGGGAGCTGCGTTTAGGGAGTTTAGGGCTGATGACTCTCGTTGTTAAGAGTTTTGGGGGTTTAGGCTTGAAGCGTGTTGGGTTTCGGCTTTCAGGGTTTCGGAATCAGTGCCGGTCGTCCACGGTCCCCACAAGCATCACCACCAACAACACTTCTATCGAAACCCCGACCTCCTCCTCTAGCTGCTCTACTTGGAGGCCCAGGGGACTTAGTAAGTAGGTGATAAGTAGAGTTAGAAGTACCCGAAATGAAGTTACCCCAACTTTAACCCTACTTATAACCGACTTACTAAGTCCCCTGGGCCTCCAAGTAGCTATGGCTAACCGGTTCTCGAGATATTGAATATCACGCGGGGTCTGTGTGCGGTTGCGGCCGCCTTGCTTCCGTACCTACACTGTTTGGTGTGCGGGGTTCAGGGTCATGTTTCCTGAAGCCTGAGTTTCACCATGTGATGCTGGTCATGTAATTGATACACTCTTCGTTCAGCATCAGGAGCTGTCGCAAGAGACGGGTTTTGTTGCTTAAACAAGCCGTTACAGTAACCCCTATAGTAACCGTTGTAGAACCCAGGACCCGTGTAGTAACCCCGAAACCTTAAACCTTAAACCGTAAACC